TAATTAGATCATATTGACCACGGTGCTCTCCCATTACTTCTCTTGTGTTAGAGGAGGACAGTTTGAGCAGGAAGCCACTCAGACCGCAGTGTGAATGTGTGAGAGAGAACTTAACCGGTAGTACTGCTGAAATGTTTCATCACTGTCAACATACATTGTTATTTCCTGCATGACAGACACTGGACCACAGCAGGAATATGTCATGTTGTCATTTGCAGCTATAATTAAAGGAAATTCAGCGCTTGTGCGCTGTCTGTTTATGACACCCTTACTAACAACCAGCCATTATGTTTTCCCGTTGGTAATTGGTTAAGTTTGTAGGTACCTTTTTTGACATTTTATTTCAAGTAAAGTGGAGAAAGAGCAGGAATTTATGGATAAGAAATCAGGCAATGTTGTGAGCTGGATTCGAACTCGTAGTGTCCATATGAGCACCATAACTCGATGTGCAAGGGCATGTATTGTATCTGTATTCAGAGCTGGGTAGATTACTTGCAAATTGTAATCCGTTACTGATTACAAATTACATGACAAAAATTGTAGTTAGTATCGTAATCCATTACATTTTTGGTAGGCTAATATAATCTGACTACTTTTTGGTTACTTTTGACCTAACTTGTTCATCATTGATTTAAATAACAATCTTGTACCATATTGATATAACAATAGAAAGAGAAAGAAAATATATTCAATTTGTTGTTATTAGCAACAAGAACCATACATCAAGGTTTTCCAAACTGGGTTTTGTGATTTTAATTTAATCTATAATAATAATAATAATAATAATAATAATTTATTACTATTGTGTGAATGAGATGTAATCAATAAAATATTAACTGTAGTCTGATTACAAGTATTTTAAAATGTAATATCATATAATTACAAGTACTTAATTTTTGGAATCGGATTACGTAATGCAGATTACATCAGTAACAACCCAGCACTGTCTGTATCTGATTTGAGACTTTCAAGCAAATTAGTTCACATAAAACACCTTTAATGGATGTTTGCACTTTTCACAGTCAATTTATTCATCCACGCTAAAGTGTTTAAACCCTGCATTGAGCTACAATACAAAATCGGCGGTAATGTTCAAAAGAAATGATGATTTTAATGTTGTGCAAGTGTTTAGACTGTAAAAAACTAACATTCACACAAAGAACGAAATTGAATTCCTTATTTACTGTATTTTGACATTCGATATGTTGTTTATGAGTGTGTGTGCTTGATAATACTGTAATTGAATATCAAATGGGAATTGATCGTAAGAGAAAATCTGAAAAAGCACTAGAAAGCGATGGCTCCACTCTGTCCAGCATCTACTGACAGGAAACTGTGTGTGCGTTCAACAAGACAAGAAAATGTAAAGCCCTGTTTCCATGCGCTAGACATGAGTCTCCAGACCCATCAACAGGCCATTCAGATCTGCGGTGTGTCAGTTACTTAGTCCCTGTGGTCCCTGCTGATGAGAGCAACTTTGGCGTAATCGAGTTCTGTATTGCCCTTCGTGCAGACTGACTCAATTTCATCTGTACTGTCGTAGTGTAGAGAGGTTATCCCAAGGAAAGAAAGTATGATGGAGTGATTTTTGATTGACAAGCATTGCGGCTAGTCGTGCTGCAAAATCCATCCAGGAGACCCGCAGTCGGGTTTTAAAGAGCAAGAGCTGCCTTTTCTTTTCTTTTTTTTGAGTGAGAGTACCTAAAGGGACAAAATTATATTTTATTTTAGTTGTGTAGTTTAGGGGATTTTGTTTGTTTGTGTTTGTGTTTGTTTTATTTAGCAGAAATATGTTGTCATACATTCAGTCAGTAATCAGAGTGATTTAATGGGATAGTTTAAAATGCTCATTAAAATGCAATTTTTTATTTTATTTTTAATGTAAGTTTATTGTTCTTTATCTTATTTTGTAGGAATACAGATTAATTGAAAGGGTTAGTTCGCCCACAAAAATAAAATTCTGTCATTATTTGTTCATCCTCTTGTTGTTACAAAACAGATTTTCTTTTCCAGTGGAACAAAATGTTTTTTAAATCTGCATTTCTTCATACAACGACAGTTCATAGTGACCACAAGCTCTTAAGCTTCAAAAGGACAAAAAAAATTAAACTTAGGTTTTACAACAAAAAAAAAAAAAAAGCTTTACTTGGCTCATTTCGAATCAGACAAGTTATAATATGAAAATCCATTACTTTTAAATATATGCAAACATGAAAAATTATTTTATTTCAGCTGCAACATTTCTCATTTTAATTTAGTTAAAAAAAATAATAACATTGACAAAAATGCGTGGGGCATTGAAGACTGACATGGAAGATTAGACATTTTTGATTAAAGTCGTTATTATTGTTTTCTTTTGCACACAAAAATTATTCTTGTAGCTTCATAAAATTACGGTTGATAAAAATACGGTTCTTTTGACCACTGATGTCACATGGACTATTTTAATGATGTCTTTACTACCTTTCCGGGCCTTGAATGTGTCAGTTGCATTGCTGTCTATGCAGGGTCAGAAAGCTCTCGGTTTTCATTAAAAATATCTTGTAAAAAACAAACATTCACACAAAGAACGAAATTGAATTCCTTATTTACTGTATTTTGACATTCGATATGTTGTTTATGAGTGTGTGTGCTTGATAATACTGTAATTGAATATCAAATGGGAATTGATCGTAAGAGAAAATCTGAAAAAGCACTAGAAAGCGATGGCTCCACTCTGTCCAGCATCTACTGACAGGAAACTGTGTGTGCGTTCAACAAGACAAGAAAATGTAAAGCCCTGTTTCCATGCGCTAGACATGAGTCTCCAGACCCATCAACAGGCCATTCAGATCTGCGGTGTGTCAGTTACTTAGTCCCTGTGGTCCCTGCTGATGAGAGCAACTTTGGCGTAATCGAGTTCTGTATTGCCCTTCGTGCAGACTGACTCAATTTCATCTGTACTGTCGTAGTGTAGAGAGGTTATCCCAAGGAAAGAAAGTATGATGGAGTGATTTTTGATTGACAAGCATTGCGGCTAGTCGTGCTGCAAAATCCATCCAGGAGACCCGCAGTCGGGTTTTAAAGAGCAAGAGCTGCCTTTTCTTTTCTTTTTTTTGAGTGAGAGTACCTAAAGGGACAAAATTATATTTTATTTTAGTTGTGTAGTTTAGGGGATTTTGTTTGTTTGTGTTTGTGTTTGTTTTATTTAGCAGAAATATGTTGTCATACATTCAGTCAGTAATCAGAGTGATTTAATGGGATAGTTTAAAATGCTCATTAAAATGCAATTTTTTATTTTATTTTTAATGTAAGTTTATTGTTCTTTATCTTATTTTGTAGGAATACAGATTAATTGAAAGGGTTAGTTCGCCCACAAAAATAAAATTCTGTCATTATTTGTTCATCCTCTTGTTGTTACAAAACAGATTTTCTTTTCCAGTGGAACAAAATGTTTTTTAAATCTGCATTTCTTCATACAACGACAGTTCATAGTGACCACAAGCTCTTAAGCTTCAAAAGGACAAAAAAAATTAAACTTAGGTTTTACAACAAAAAAAAAAAAAAAGCTTTACTTGGCTCATTTCGAATCAGACAAGTTATAATATGAAAATCCATTACTTTTAAATATATGCAAACATGAAAAATTATTTTATTTCAGCTGCAACATTTCTCATTTTAATTTAGTTAAAAAAAATAATAACATTGACAAAAATGCGTGGGGCATTGAAGACTGACATGGAAGATTAGACATTTTTGATTAAAGTCGTTATTATTGTTTTCTTTTGCACACAAAAATTATTCTTGTAGCTTCATAAAATTACGGTTGATAAAAATACGGTTCTTTTGACCACTGATGTCACATGGACTATTTTAATGATGTCTTTACTACCTTTCCGGGCCTTGAATGTGTCAGTTGCATTGCTGTCTATGCAGGGTCAGAAAGCTCTCGGTTTTCATTAAAAATATCTTAATTTGTGTTCCGAAGATGAATGAAGGTCTTAGGGGTTTGAAACGACATGAGGGTGAGTAAATAATGACAGAATTTTCATTTTTGGGTGAACTATCCCTTTAAGTAGTTGTGTGCAAGTATTAAAGAAAGAAAAAGAAAGAAAGAAAGAAAGAAAGAACGAAAGAAAGAAAGAAAGAAAGCTATTTATAGAATGTGCTTTATTGGCGAATATCAGACCTCTGCCAGAGCTGTTGCTCTTCAGCCGAGTCTGAAAGCAATCTATAACACTGTAAGTTTCTCAGGAGTGCAAAACTAGATGGAGTTTTTCTGGCTGTATGTGAGCAGTGTGAGGGGCCCCTGTGGAGTGTGTATGCTCTGCGGTATGTTCTCCGATAGTCTACGGCTCTTCAGAGGAGCTGGAGTGCAGTTCCCTGTGCTGATTCGTGGAAGTGGGGTCAGAGGTCAAAGATGAGAGTGCAGGAGGTTGGGGAGATGAATGTGATGACCTCAACAGCTGCTTTTTCTTTATCTGGCTGCATTCTCTGCCTGATGCTCTTTTACCCTGTCATGTTATTCTTAGTATCTCTCTCTCTCTTTTCACCCCTTCATTTATCACTTTAAATAAAAATATTTACCGGTTTAAAGTTTGAAATAATTAAGATTCTTTAATGTTTTTGAAAGGTGCCTCTTATGTTCACCAAGGCTCCATTCATTTGTTCAAAAGTGCAGTAAAAGTAATATTTTTAAATATTATTACAATTCAAATTCTGTTTAAATATTTTTATTTTTATTCATGTGGAATGGAAGCTGTGATACATTACCATTCAAAAGTTTGGGGTAAGTTTTGTAAAATAAATAAATAAATAAATGATATTAAATTGATCAAAAGTCGCAGTAACAGCATTTATAATGGTATAAATTATTTATATTATATGTCAAATAAATGCTGTTGTAACCCTAACCCTAACTTTCTATTCATCAGAGAATCCTGAAAAAAATGTATCAAGGTTTCCACAAAAAACATTCAGCTGCAGCAAAAAAAGGGGAAAAAAATGTTTTCCACCACATTATTTGGTAACACTGCATTATTTGTTCAATTATTTGGTAATCGATTCTGATCGGTCAATCCTCATCTTTTGCAGCATATTTTACAGTACATATGTATAATTTATTGTGATGTGATGGTTTCATGATTCTTTCTTTTCACATAACAAAATCTTCAACTTATTAATATTTATGTTATGTTATTAAAATTATATGAATCTCCATGTATATATTTCCTGTGTAAAAAGTGGGATAATATACAGTACGATCAGCCAGTCATTATCATCAGGTCCTGCCTTTAAGTAATGATCTGTTATATAATGATTTTTTTAAAATGACTTATTAATGAAGGTTATGAAAGTTATTATAAAGTTGAACCAACGAAATTAATCAAACCTTATCGCGCTCGTTCAATCATTCTCTCATTTTCTCTGCAGATTTCCGTGGCAGATGCCCAGCGCTCTATGCTCCTGCCCCAGCAGTACTGAGCAGAGTCCCGTGGACCCCCATGGCTCCCCCCGTGGAGGGAACGCCCCTGGCCCGCTGCCTCGTCCTGCTGCACAGCCTGCTGCTGCTGTTGCCCAGAGGAGTGCCCTGCCGGGGGGCCACACGGGCCCCGGAGTCCCCCTGCCATAGAGCTGAACACCCACTCATCTCTCACACAGGTCAGCATTTGTATCCCACACACCTCAGCGTGACACCACGTTACAGGAGAGCTCTGGACTTCATTTAGCATCTTAATTAATGGTGCTTGCTGAGATAAGCACCACTATTAGTATCCGCTTGTTAATTTATGACGTATCGAATACTGTTTCCGGGTCCAAGCAATTGCTCCATTTCAAGTATACTAGATACTCTACTCTCTTCAGCTGTTTATGAGCGCTATTCATTCATAGCACACCTTTAAGCTAAGCTTTTAAAAACTCACAGTGTACACAACAGTCTACAGACTCACAGCATCCCAGACACTAATATTTTAATGATTTAGAAAAGATGAATCTGCCAAAAAGGTTAGGATTTTTCAGGAATGCTACAGCACACATAGAGTGTATAATAGCACTGTATGTTATTTGCTTTTGGGATTTGATAAATCTGGACCCAGAAACAGTAACGTGTGGTGTGTTAACAACCGGATTCCTGAAGTTTGACTTATAATACCTAAAATATACTTTATTGCAAATCTATAATCCTACTTTTTTATGTATAATATATGTTTATTGCAAGTCTATAATCTTAAATTTTATATATATAAAAATAACACTTTATGTATATGTAATTTAAGAATACATTGAAATGTATTGAAAAGTAATACATAAAATATATAAATATATATGAGTTAATTTACTCAGGAAAATATAAGTTTATATATTTGATTTCCTTTTCATACATTTCTTTGCATTTTCATACATCCATTTTTTAAATACTTGGTCATGTGTTTTTAAATTGTCCTTGAGCTATGCTTTTTGACTGACTACAGCACTAAATGCATTTTTTTTAATAGTGTGTTATGGGCTAAATAATAGAGACCTAATAGCATTGACAAACTCAGTCACCTTCCCCCAGCTTAAATTACAGGACTTCCTTGCCTGGAGAACATGTATTATAATCAATGTAAATTCAGCGGGAGGATTTCAGTAAGTAATTGTAGAGCTGAATGTCAAAGCCAAAGGGATTCTATTGGGGCTAATGGAGTGGAAATGCAAGGTCAATGTTTCAGCTTAGTGATCCGCTCTGACTGTAAGTGAACTCCTGGAGAACCAAGCCATCTGTAAGCACGACCTAGTGAGTAGTAACACAGACTAGTAGCTCATTAACCCATTGATTTTTAGGATGTGTCCTTATGGCTGTTCACCATCTGTGTTACAGAATAAGTGTGAATTTCAATGTCTAACACCCGTCTCACACACACAAACGCAGGAACACAAACCTTTTAATTAGCACCCCATTCATTAAATATGCACAGTGAGTGCAGTGGTAATGGCGTTTCTGCCCAGCAGCGACAGGGAGGTCTGTCACACACACACTCACACACACACACTCTTCTACAGCCCATAACGGTCCATTGGCACCGTTTTGAAAATGCAATTCTTATGGTTGCTCAAATAATCTCGGTTCTCCCTGTTTGACTGAGCTTTTGAATCAAAGCTTTCAGATCATTGAACGAGCCCCAGTCTACACATTTAGCAGCCGCCCTGCTGCAAAACCAAATACCTGCACGCCAGCTTTCACAAACAAAACCACTTCTTCAGTAAAAACATTTATTCAAAGAGCGCTGGGATCTGAAGGCACTGGCTTTTCGCTGGTTTTCTCTTATGTGTTTGTTGAACTGCTCCACTAGGTTTCTAAAATCAGCCTTGAACTCTGTATGCCCTTTATGGCCCCCAGTTCTCATCTGGAGTTCAGATTATGCTGTTTTCCGAACAAGCTCTTGTATTTAGTGGTAAATACATTGTATTTAGTTACAGCTGCAAAATTACTCTATATATATCTGTGAATTTGTATATTAAAATGTTTTTGTTAATTAAAATAATAAAAATACAAATATTTAAATATGTTAACACATTTAAATAGATTGTATTACGTATTTAAGTTATTCTAATACATTAAAAAGTCTTGTTCTCTTTTTCTTTACTTTTCTGCATGTAGTTTTCTAATCTATAGGTAGTTTTTGTACTATAAGTTAATACATATATAAAATAGATTTAAAAAAAAATTATCTTTACTTTAATAAGAGTTCTTGTTTTCATTATTTCATTGTTTATTCATTTATTTAATGTCAATTTAAATAAAAATAAACGAATACATTTAAATATGCTAATAAATTTAAATAGATTAAATAGGAGTTCTTATTTTTCTTTCTTTCTTTCTTTCTTTTTCTTTCATTCTTTCTGTATATGTAGTCTGTGTACTAATGTTTATATTAATACCTGCATGAAATAGAAGTTTTTCTATTCTATTTTTGTTCTTATTTTTATTACTTAAAACAATATTTATTTTAAAATGTTAATTAAAACAAATTAATTTAAATATGTTAATGAATTTTAATAGATATGATTAAAGACTATTTATTCTGTAAAAATTCAAAAACTAAAAACTTCTTTTTTTGTTTACTTTTCTACGTTTCATTTCTGATCTGCAGGTAGCTTGTACTAATCCTTTATAATTTAAAACTTGGCACTGTGTACAGCAAATGTTGATCTCTCTTATGTTAAATTGCTTGCAATGTTCTCCGTTTGTAAGTCGCTTTGGATAAAAGTGTCTGCTACTAATAAATGCAAATGTAAGTTAGATAGATGTCCAATTATCAAATCTTGTCTCAGTATCACCTTAGTGAACCAGAATTCAACATAGAAAGAATAGATAAAAAAAGACATTGATTACTGAAGCTTTTCACACCTTAAATTAATGCCACTTGCATGCTGACTTAATAAACACCTTCTGTTTCTCTGAAATTTCATGCTTTGTGAAATAGTTTCCCCTGTAATTATAGTCGAACACACAGGTGGTGCTGTGCTTATCTTGACAAAGGCTATATAGAGAAGAGTGATTGATGGGCCTGTTTTTTTTTTTATCTAAACCTTTCAGACTTTGTCAGGCCACCCAGTAAGCCAATTTAGAGTGAATTGATGGCTGAGAGAAACATTTTGCTCTCTTCTTAAATTTGCCTTTTTGAATCAAGCCTGCAGTCTGCATTTATAGTGGCAAATGTTCCTAGCAGCCTCTTTGAAAAAATCAATAAAAAGGGTTGAGTCACAGAGATGCGTGTCTCGATCCAGACAAAACGAGAGACACTGGGAGCAAGAGACTGTGTTTTCCTAAATTGAACACCTCTGCTCTCTTCTCCAGAGTGCTGTGGGGACACGTTTCTCTGTGGACCGCATAATCCTTGTCCGTTAGGGAGCAAAAAGTGGGAAGGACATCAGGGATGGTCGGCTTTACTCTGTGCAAACTATAAAGAAGATAAATATACATCCCCTCAGCCATGTCAGAACTCCAGCAGAGCTCCACTGTTAGATCTCTGTATAAAGACACACTGGTTGACTGTAAAGAAATGTTAATATCTGCGCCGTGGAGCCGTTGTGCTCTGCTCATAAGTGCCGGTTTGTGCAATAATGTTCTGGACTGATGTTGCACACTCATAGTGAGTCAGGTTTGCATTTTGTTTAGACTTCAGAGTTTTGTTTTTCTTTCTGGGAAAACAAGGTTTTTCTTTTGTTATCAATGACAGGTTTAAGAAGCAGATGGTTGCAGATACTGTACTCCACAGGTACAGTACATATCTTATGATCGGTAGGAGTGTTGTCTGTATGGACTTGTCAGAGCTCTTGCTGCATTGTATGGCTTGGTGGAAAACAAACCCGACACTAGACTTTTTGTTTGTTTGTTTTATGCTATATAAATCTTATTTTCCTAAGTTTCTTACATATACAGTTTCTAGATCATTAATGTTGATGGTTTAGTATGTAGTTTTCATTGTGTTTGTGTGTATCTGTGTGTGTATTGTTGAAATTTAAGTATTTCTGGGTAACATTTTTAATACGGTTTTATACATTAGCATTAGTTAATGCAGTAGCTCACATGAAATCATAATGAACAAAATTTTAAAGCATTTATTAATCTTCCTTAATGTTATTTTTTATATATGCCAATATATTTAACATTTTAAAGGAATAGTTCACCCAAAAATGAAAATTCTGTCATTAATTACTCACCCTCATGTCGTTCCAAACCTGTAAGACCTTCATTTATCTTGGGCGAACAAATTAAGATATTTTTAATGAAATCCAAACCTTCTGACCCTCCATAGACAGCAACGGAACTGGCATATTCAAGGACCAGAAAGGTAGTAAGGACATTGACTACTTTTACATGCGCACGAATAATGCGATTATTTCCAATAATCAGAGTAAGGACTTAATCGCATTATGATGTTTACATGTCAAGAGCAAAGCTCTTCACTCCCGTTTATTCTTATTATTCGCTAAGAATTGTGGTTATTTTTTTACTGCCATTATTCACATACCCCACTCCACAGCACAAATGATGGACTCAGAAAGAGCAGGTGTGTTACTGGCTGCTGTTTTAATTTATTTAATGCAAAACACGTTTGTATGGTTGTATTCCATACTTTTTCGGTGCCATAGAAATGTGATGGCAATTCGTTTGCCTACGCTGCCGTCGCGTTCTACTCGCCGTTTCTGGATGAGGGTAAGGAACAGATACTGGTGGCAGCGAGTTGTGTTTTCCCCAGAAATGCGATGCTTTCTTCCCCACCATCGTTTCTAATCTGTGTATTATTACAGATGCGCGTCACGTCATTCATGTATGTCACAAGCACATGCGCACTTTGGTCAGAGCGGCAATACTGCGATTAAGGTGTTTACATGCCTGTATATTTAGATTAAAATCGGCGTATGCCACCTATTTTAATACGATTATGCTTGCTGCGATTATGAGTTTAATCGCATTATTTAAATCGAAGTATTGCGTTTACATGAGGTAAAGTTTAATCGCAATATTGCCAAAATCGAATTGTAATCGCATTAAGAGGGTGCATGTAAACGCACTCATTGTTAAAATAGTCCATGTGACATCATTTGTTTTCTTTGCGCAAAAAAGTATTCTCGTAGCTTCATAAAATTAAGGTTGAACCACTGATGTCACATGGACTATTTTAATGATGTCCTTACTACCTTTCTGGACTTTGAACGTGGTATACCGTTGCTGTCTATGCAGGGTCAGAAAGCTCTCGGATTTCATCAAAAATATCTTAATTTGTTTCTGAAGATGAACGAAGTAATTAATGACAGTTTTTTTTTTGGGTGAACTATCCATTTAACATTTAAAGCTGTATAAATTTGCTTTAATGTGAAGGCACATGAGTTAACAATAATCCAGTGTGGAACTGGAAAATCTGGTGTGGAAACAATTTTCACTCAGAATTTGCCAGTAAATTTCACAAACAGTTACAAATAAATGGCAAGTAACACAATGAGTAGAAAAATCTCTATATTTTCTTTTAAAACTTACCTCAACAATCCTTGTTTTATTTAACTTCAAAAATCACTTTTTACAGTTTAATGTTGGCAAATTCAAACTTATTGTAAAGTATTTCCAATTTTGTATTTCCCAGAAAATATTTTTGAGTGGTACAAATGCTCTTATTTGTACTCAGTGTTCTCATTTCTCAATTTTGACTATAGCATTTGATGAATGGATAAATGTTATGGAAGGGTTTTTTTTCCCCAATATTGTTGTTTTCTCCATTTTTTAACATTTCTAAGTGGCAACATTTGGCAACAATACACACTCAATGTAAAGTGGTTTTGTCTCATTTTAATTACAAGTTTGTGTTGGGCTACTCTCTCTATAATTTTGGTTATAAAACTTGTTTAAGAGCAACTTTGTGCCAGAAGACCCCAGTATTTACACAGCTGCAGCTTGGCAGATGTTGCTTCCTGTACTTAAAGAATCTTTGCAAAGAGCAAACATATTAATGTCTATTAAAAGAAACAGTCCTTGACAGTTCAAGAAAACAAGTTTAAGAGCAAATTAAGGCAAGAGTTCCTGCAGTTTTGACAGCCATGACCTTGAAGGCTTTAAATTGCTTCCATGCTGAGGTTGATTTTTGGAAAGTGCCTGTGTTGTTTTACATCTTTGTGCTATTTTTATATGACATTCCTTGCTAATGTGGCTCTTTCACACATTTGACTCTTGAATTAAATGTTTTTGCAAGAAAATTTTAGTTCTACACATTATTTTGTCATGAAATTACACCTTTAACATATAACAGAGTGTTCAGTGTATCCTGAAAAGAATGTGAAAATATAAACAGAACATAAATGCCTACAATTAGCTGACATGAGTAGACTACATTAAGTCATCCAGAAGCCCTAAAAGAATTAATATATATTGTTATCATATGAAACTGCTTCTCAGAAACACTGAAGAACCACATTGTGTGTCTCCAAATTCACTTACGAGTTCCAGTCTTGCTGAAGTTAGGGCTATCCCATAGAGACATGCAAGATTTATGGAGGAACATTGTGGTAACTGATGCTGTGGATCTTTAGGGAATTCTGGCTTCCTTTTGTATGCTCGAGATGCGCTTCTTCAGAAGAAAAACAACCCTATCAGAGTTAGAGGAAGCTTTGTTGTTCAGCAGAGCTGTTAAACTGATTATTAAAATAAAAGAACTTTATTGAAGAAATGTTGTAGATTATATATAATTCATTTACTAGGTTTGTAAATTATTCTATATTCATTATTGTTTTGCAAAGCACAAAGGGCAAGAACTAGTGGTGCAACGGATCACAAAACTCACGGTTCGGATCATATTACGGATTTTGAGTCACGGATCGGATCATTTTTCGGATCAGCCAAAAAATAAAATAAATACATTTGTGAAAGCTTACTTTGAGTACTTCTATACCACAGCACAAAATACTAGCTTAACTAATAAAGTTAGTAATAAAACAAGAACAATTACACAAATTACAAGCATTGATGAATACAACATAACACAGTTACAAATAAAGTCAGTAACAGTAGTATTCAGGTGCAGAAATGTAATAACTAAGTGTAAAATAACACAATAGTGCTCACTGCACAAGTTAAATACAGATTAAGAGCTGTGGTGTTATTTGATTAGCAGAAGCAAGTATTTATTGGCTGCTGTCTCTTTAAGACCAAATGCACGGACATAATACTGACACACATCCAGTTTCTTTCTCAGCTGTTTACATTCACTTAAGACATAACTGACTGTTTTTACTAGAATACTTGCCAAAACGGGTATTGTATCATAACTTTGTGTGTATTTCTTTCTCAGCTGTTTACATTCACTTAAGACATAACCGACTGTTTTTAATAGAATACTTGCCAAAATGGGTATTGTATCATAACTTTGTGTGTATGTGAAAGAGGAATCAATTCGGTGTTCACGCGGTGTCTCTCTCTGCGTGTGCGCGCTTCTCGTGTGGCGGCAGCGGCTGAGCGCATAGAAAACAGCACGCGAGTTTAAATTGCTTGAATGTGTAAATGATAAACTTTCACTCTATGATGGTTAAACTTGACAGCTAATCCGCGAATCACATGCATGCCAAACCGTGGGGCCGGGTCCGTACGGATCACGGATCATCTACGATCCGTTGCACCCTTAGCAAGAACGTGTCTGTCTGATTGTCTCTCTGATCTATCTATCTATCTTTTTTTTTTCTTTTTTTTTTAATGCATTTACATTAAAAAAATGCATTAAACAATGCATTTACAATGCAGACGCTTTTATCCAAAGCAACTTACAGTGCATTCAGGCTATACATTTTTTACCAGTATGTGTATCTATCTATCTAGCTATCTATCTATCTATCTATCTATCTATCTATCGTCTGTCTGTCTGTCTGTCTGTCTGTCAGTCATCTATCTGTCTGTCTATTTATCTATCTATCTATATATAATCTATTTATATATCTATATATAATATATTTACGTATTAGGGCTGGTAAGCGAATACAATTTTTAATCTAATTAATTAATTTAATCTAATTAATTAATAAATTTGGCTGAGAAATTACTCCCAAAAGATCATTTAAAATCATTGTTGTGTAAAGCATCAAACAGACATTACAAAAAGTAGCTTCAGCAAGAAATATTTGGTTTGATAAAATGTATTACATATACTCCTTTGGACCATGAGAGTGAGTAAATGATGACACAATTGTCATTTTTGGGTGGGTGAACTATTCCTTTAATAATTTTTTTTAATTAATTTTATTATTACTATGGAAATATGAAATTATTTATTTAATGAAATGATACTCTAAATAATAAACTAAAACTGCCAGTAGGTGGTGGTAAATGTCTTAATGATTAAGTCATCAAGTCATTTATTCATTCATTTGATTCGTTCAATTGACTGATTCATTCAGGAGTGTAGTTTCATTCAGAATTCAGAAGTAAATGGTTCTCTTTATGAGTGGTTATTGAATCATTAGGCTTGTTCGACTTGAAGCGGATCATCACCATCAGATCGATCGGTGTGTGACATCAAAGTACCGCGAGAGCTATAGAAAGCAGACGGCTCCTTATGCTTTTGAATCGCTCTCGTGGTCCTTTCATGTCATACACTGATCGGTCTGTGCAGCGTCGCTTTAAATTCAACGTGCTATGGCTAATGGTTCAACGCGCCAAATGATTCACCCAATTTGTTCAAAACGTGCGTTAAGAAATTAAATGCTGCTGTGTGTTGCTCGGAGATGAACATTTCTGCTTTGTCTATATATTTTCGTTGGCAAAATTGAGCAGAACAGACAACATTGTGTTTAAAATAGCAAAATATTAACTTCTTACTTATTGAACCGTTGTATAAGATCAGTATCACATTTGCACTCGTGTGATATTGCACTTAGCCTATTGCTCGTGTGTTATTGCTTAACTATATGATGTAAATATGAGACAAAAACTCAAACAGGGACATATTTTTGCCCCATATCTTGAATTTTAGGGACAGTCTCACTCCGTTCTCTAGGCTCCATCACGCAGTGAGTTGTTGCCCTGCATCATATTTGTCACCAATCAACTGTATGAAATGTCAGATGACCCACGTAGGTCTGGGGCGGTGCAAGTGCGTTAAATGTGTTAATAATTTTAACGCGTTATTTCTCACCATAATTAATTAATCTAATTAACGTGTTAAATTACCAGCCCTAGTATTTATATCATTTTAATTTTTATACGTTTTATTTATATATGTTTTTGTAAATGTATTATTGTGTATTATTTCTAAATGTATTATTGTTTTATATTTTTATTTATATATTTAATTATATTGTTATGTGTGTAATGCGTACATATAAAATATATATTTTAACTGGGAAAGATAGTCCACTCATGTGTTAAATGTGAAACTACATCCCAGAACTGGAAAAAGCAATGACCAGTAGCACGACTTAACAAATGATAGCATTACTGGAACAGCTAACCCAGCAGCTATCCAATTACACAGAGGTAGGTAGGCAAAAGATGTTAGACAGGCCAAGATTGAAGTTTTGATGTCAAGGCCAGAGGTTAATATGAAAGGCGCCACAGCGAGGGCATTTGATATGCATATCATACACCCGCACAGAAACAAACACAAATGCACTCAGGAGCACTCAAACTAAAGAGAAATATAAAAAAATACAGTGTTTGTGTGTGTGTCAGTCAGGGATGTGCGCTAACATGTGCCCTCTCTTGTTCTGCAGAAATCGAGCCTTGGATCCACCGATTCAGAGCTGAGGGCACCGTCGATTATTCACAGCTGACCTTTGACCCCGGCCAGAACGAACTAATCGTGGGTGCAAGGTAATGCTCACTTCTTCCATCACTGCATGAAATTTAATTAGTACTCAGTCCATGGGTCTCAGTATATGAATGAGTGTGTCGTTGTCAGAGGTTCTGACAGTGTGTCTGCTAAGCCTTACATTCATATAGTACTATATTTTCAGCAACACCAAATTGACACCCACTGCGAAAATGTCACAATTGCCAAGTTTCCCATGATTAGCCCAATAGTGACACACAATCTGAGTCCTCATAAAACCACACAATGAAACCGGAGTACTTTTGTGGCAGACAAAGCACAGCATAGACCCTCCTCACCAACAGATACTTTGATAAAAAATCACACCATGAATGTGAGAATAGGATAGGATTTCCTGTGTCCAGCTCTAATTAATGAGTGTGATGATTTCCACATAGACTTTCGCACTGTGCTGCCATACATCTTCAGCCAAATTAATCTCACATTACCGATCTGTCAGCAGCCTGGATGGTCTCCAAGCAATTATTTTGTGACAACCGCAGAAATGGTTTGATATGAGGCACTGTAACAGTTCATTCACCCACAGGGCCGGGAGCGGTAGAATAATTACTTTTTCTGGGAGAAGCAGGGATTACCATTGACTAGTGATTCATTGTATCATGAGCAGATTGTTTTTGGGGTTTTTTTACTTGAAAGTAACGAGACAGAAAGTGTTAGTTAGCTCTCAGAACCTGTTCCGAAGTGCAACACATCATTATCAAGTCTGACTCTGCTAAAGAGTTGCGGTTGGGATTCTTTATTCTCTCCAAACATCAAAAATGTCTTGCTGCTGGTGTTACAAAGAAGTGCATATCAGTGGTAATGGCTCAATTGAAAATATTATTTTGACTTCTTGTACAGTAGGAAAGTTTTTCCAGACATTGTGTTCTCATTGTTTTCCTATAATGAGAAAGCTCAGTTCAAATTAAAAAATTAAATTTGAAAAATTGAAAGAAATTCAAATTAAAATATGGAATAATATTCATAACAGAAGCTCTAAATATTAAAAATGTAATGGAAACTTACCTGCTTGAACTTGATCGGGGTGTTTTGTTAGTTTGATGCGTTTCCTCCTCTTGAGGTCGCCACTGCTTTTATGAAGAGGTTGCCAGGTTTTCACAACAAAACCCGCCCAATCGCGTTTCGAGGGGGTCCCCGTTAAAAATCGCGTTCCGAGGATAAAATACGCATGTTTTGGCGGGGTTCCCCTGGTAAAATTCGCATTCCAGGGGCTAAATATCATGTTAGTGGGGTCGTTTTTCAACCCGCGGACATGAAAAACAACCCGCGGCAACAGTGTTAAAGCAGCCCAATTCCGCAGGAAAACCACGGACTTGGCAACACTGGAAGAGGATAGCTTTCGTTTAGCGCATCAAGAACCGGGTTGACCGGGTACTCGGTACCACCGGTACTTAAGAAAACCTGGTACCGTAACGTTTTCATTTTTTTAGTACCGACTTGGTACCGAAATACCGGGTCTTTTGACAACACTAGATGTCTTGTACTTTAGGGTTTGGGTTTTGGAGACAGCAAACCTCTCAAACAAGACAAATGCAAACAACTGGAGCTAAAGGAATCTAGTAATGCTCTTTAGATTGAGGATGGGAATTAGGGATGCACAATAAATCAGCAGACATATCATGTGTCAGCTGACAAACTTTACTGTTTAATGTTATTATTAAGTAAAATAGGTCAATATATTTAAGGCGATAAATTATAGCCACACAATCATGGAATGCATTATTTCCTGTTGGCTAATTGCAAATAAAATAATTGTGTACATATTTCATAATAAATTCATAATATTTTTAAATATATTTATAATGTAATATATTTTAATTATAATTATTTGTTTGTTTTCCATTTAATTTTATTAAAAGAAAATTTTGAAAGTTTAGGATGTAAAATATTTTATTACACTGTATGAATATTATATACAATGGAAAACTGATTTGAATTTTAATTTTTTATATATAAAAGTACATTTTTGAAATGTAAAAAATAAAATAAAATAATTTAATTAATATAATAATTACATTTTTTTAATCTATTTATTTATTCGTCTAATATACAGTATTTGTTATCTGCATCCCATTAACATTGGTTATCATATCAGGGTGTATTTTTTATTTCAATTAATTTAATTTTTATATATTTTTATATAGTTACGTGGACCACAAAACCAGTCATAAGGGTCAATTTTTCGAAACTGAAATTTATACATCATCTGAAAGCTGAATAAATAGGCTTTCCATTGATGTATGGTTTGTTTGGGTAGGACAATATTTGGCCCGAGATACAACTATTTGAAAATCTGGAATCTGAGGGTGCAAAAAAAAAATCTAAATACTGGGAAAATTACCTTTAAAGTTGTCCAAAGGAAGTTCTTAGCAATGCATATTACTAATCAAAAATTACGTTTTAATATATTTACAGTAGGAAATGTTCCTTCATGGAACATGGTCTTTACTTAATATCTTTTGCATTACTTAATATCATTTTGTCCCATACAATGTATTTTTGGCTATTGCTACAAATATACCCCAGCGACTTAAGACTGGTTTTGTGGTCCAGGGTCACATTTGTTCATTTTCCATTTAATTTTTATTAAAAGAAAATGTAGAAAGTTTAGTATGTAAAATATTTGTACTTATATTTATATCTGTAAATATTTGTATAATCATATGCAGTGGAAAACTGATTTAAATTTTTTTTTTAATTAAATGTTAAAAATTATTATTATTATTTTTTTAAATAAATATATTTTTAAAATGTATTTGTCTAATATATTTGTTATCTGCCTCAAAAACATTAACATTGGTTATCATATCAGTGCGTATTTTTTATTTCTCTTAAATTAATTGCATTTTATTTCGGCTAATATATTGGCTGTCTGCCTTAAAAATACATTAGAGCATCCCTATTGAGAACTGTATGATAGTCATTTATAGCTATTTTTTAGAATGGAGAGGTGAAAATCACAGTAAACAACACTGTTTATGCAGGTCAGCTATCTTTCTGTGGTTAATGTACATCACTGTGGATAGGATGAGTCAGGGGCTGTGGATCAGTGTTGTTCGAATTGAGCTGTGAAAAGGAAAACTAAAGTCTTGCCTTGGAGGAACTCCATGGTGCTTTCAGCTTGACTGGTTGTTCCTGGAGCAGATGGGTCTGCAGGGCCCAAGGCCTCACAAACGCACCCACAGTCTGGCCTAATGGACTGTGTCAAGGTTCTCCAACTGAGCTGCTGCTTCATCAAGGTCACTGAACAACAGGGTTCTCATGAAGTTACTCAGCAGCTCAAGGAACATTCTGCCAATTACCAACACCAGACTGAGCAGACCTGTCAAAGTACAGGCACTTAGAATGTGAAATATTGAGTCATGCCTCTACTGAAACACATAGACAGATGTGAGAGACAGACAGACAGACAGACAGACAGACAGATAGATAGATAGATAGATAGATAGATAGATAGATAGATATTAAAAGGTATATTTTTAAATGTAAAAAAGTAAACATAAAATATCATAAAATATTTTAAATAATTAAATGTAATATTTAAATAAAAATTAATTAAATATACATATAATAAATATTTATGTTTGGTGTAACCTTATGCAGCTTTCATTGTTTAACAAAATGTATTTTTCCATTGTTTTTCCTTTTCAATGTCAACACCATGAAATAAAAAAAATACATATTTGTTGTCAAATATTTATAATATATATACATATACATATATTTGCAAATGTATTCAGCTACTAAGAATGAATTGAGAGGACATAATGGTGAAACTTATTTTTAACTCCATGTGTTGAATTATCACCCTCATCAGACAGAAAATCAAAATAATCATATCCTAAACATCTGTGCAGTGGCTATTATTATTTTTGGTGTTGCAAGCTATTATTAATTTATTATAATTTGTTACATTTATATAGCGCTTTTCTTGGTACTCAAAGCGCTTAATTAAAATGACCTGCATAAATATGCAAACTATCTTTTATAGTGACCTTGACATTGCTTGATTTTTTGTGTTCTCATAAATGTGACCCTGGAGCACAAAACCAGTCATAAGTAGCACAGGTATATTTGCAGCAATAGCCAACAATACATTGTATGGGTCAAAATGATCGATTTTTCTTTTATGCCAAAAATCATTAGGATATTAAGTAAAGATCATGTTCCATGAAGATATTTTGTAAATGTCCTACTGTAAATATATCAAAACTTAATTTTTGATTAGTAACATGCATTGCTAAGAACTTCATTTGGACAACATTAAATGCAATTTTCTCAATATTTAGATTTTTTTGCAGCCTCAGATTCCAGATTTTCAAATAGCTATATCACGGCCAAATATTGTACTATCCTAACAAACCATACATCAATGGAATGCAAATTTATTCAGCTTTCAGATATAAAATACATTTATAAAATGTATAAATCTCAGTTAAACAACAACAAAAAATTGACCCTTATAACTGGTTTTATGGTCCAGGGTCACAAATATCTTATAGGGTTGACATTAAGCTTTCTATCAACCAATCAGATTGTAGAGTTAAAGTTAAGAGTTTCCCTCTTATTTCAGAGGTATCTTTGGTTTTGGCTACATTTGGGTCTTTCATTTTTGAATAGGAATATTGTTCCAGGACCAACAAAGAACAACGATTCAAAGGATGTTGACGCACTTAACCAGATAACGTTGTGCCTGACGCCCCACAGAACTGCATTCAAATGCAACTACAAAAATAAATAGTCATGAATAACCTAGAACGAGCTCAGTACGTTCCGAATCCCTCAATACTGATAGTGTAGCTGCATGGTCATGACAGAAATAATGGCCCAGTAGTCCGTGCAAAGGAACCATTGATAGTGAGAACCTCAAAAGGCTTTAACGGTAATGCAGTGAAATACAATCAATAGGCATGTCGATTCAGTAAGTGGACCTTAATCACAGCAACCTGATTTATCATGTAGTCTCTTATACAATAAGACAGGCTCCACTTTCAGATTACGTACCATATTGTTTTAGCAAATGTGTTTGTGCTTCCGACATTCACAGATGGATGTAAAATCATGTCGGACGGATATGCGATTTGTAGTTCCACATATAAATTACATTTGAGATTAGAGTTGGCAGAACACTATATTGCTACACTAGATTACATGCTCGGTCCAAGACGTTTGGAGGAGCAATTTTAGTTTTTCGTTTCCCAGAATTAAAATGCATGCAGCATTTACAGGCTTCTGCTGCTCCAAACAAGCATCTTATCCTTAGGCAAGGTCCAGCGTTGGCTCATTAAAGTGACAGTAGGCTGTACACTTTGCATAAGAGGTTTTTGGCTCTAACACATTGTTAGACTTCATCCAGGTGTGCAGATCATATAAAAAAAACGAACTTGAACTGTTACGCCAGGTTGTATTAAAACCGGATGTGTATTGGGGGCATGTTAATGTGATTTATTCAGCAATTAATTTGGCAATTTAGTTCCCAATCCTCTGTTTTATTTATAGTCTTGTTTATCTCTGAAAAAGCTCAAAACATTCCTCTCACAACATTGGCCAATTGCTATTGCGCATGGATTCACTCGAAATGTTGCAACCCATAAAAATCTCCATTTATAACCGCAATGCCCGCCCACCCTCTGAGGCAACTTGTGTTCTGATTTGGGTGGAAATTCATATCTTTTTTTTTGGTCTTTTCTTTCAGAAATCATCTCTTCAGGTTACATTTGGAGGATATTTCATTGATCCAGGTGGGTGAAAAAAGTATATGTCTGTCTCTTTCTGTCTTTCTTTTTTCCGGAATTGCTCAGACAGCTCAAACACCCAGGATGAGACTAACAGGTGTTGCTGCCGCCATGTGTGAATGCCAATTACAGTGGCTTCATAAGCTCAGAGAAAAAGACTCTGCCAATTTAAAAGTTGTCAGTTCGGCACAATGCTGATGTGACTGGCGTTCTTGCCCCGTGGGCTGGTGCTCTCTGATAAATCCATATGTAAACTTTCCCTGGACTCCATTTTGGATTTGTGTGGTTGGAAAACATACCGCTAGACGCTTATGGGGAAAAACTCCTTTTTCTCCGAGGACTGAAGACTTATTCAGTCATGCAGGGTAACTGCACGGCCATTGGTTCGTGCAGTGATTATAAAACTAACCAATGGCTCGGCAGCGGTGCTGCACGAGCCTATGGCGGTGAAGCCCACCCGAGCACGCCAGAATGGGTGGGGCCATCTGGTTATATAAGCAGGCATTTCGCCATAGGATCTCAGGTCAGTTCAACTGAAGCCACGACACCGAGTCATGCAGCGTCATGGCACGGCAAGGAACGTAGTACTCGTTCCCGTATCTCAGGGAACCGAGGTTACGAAAGTAACTGAGTACGTTCCCTATCGATACTTCACTCGTACTGTGTCGCTAGACGCTTATGGGGAACCAATACAATCCCGCCGTGCCATGAGAGAGGAACGACTGATATGAACTGGCCATGAGCGAAAAAGGCTCAGAGGGACCAATTATGCGCAGGGTGAGCCCTGCAGGAGGCAAGAGGGCTGAACTCATTGAGGTCAGGACAGCCTTCAGATAATCATTCCAACTGTCGTATGTACAGCCTCAGCACTAGTAATAGGGCCAAGAGCGTTCCTGAAGAGTCAGGCAGAGCCTGAGACTTAGACTGCCTAGACAGGCGTGTGCCACTTTAAGCAGATAAAATCCGGGCCTGCAAGGCCGGAACATCCAAGTTATAGAACCTGGCAAAGGTGGATGGCGAGGCCCAGCCGGCCGCCGCACAGATGTCTGCTATGGACACACCACTAGACCACGCCTAGGAAGAGGCCACGCCTCGAGTGGAATAGGCTCTCACTCTTATGGGACTGGTGGCCGTTGCAGAGCTGGAGTGTTTCGGCAAGAAGTGTCGCATGGCCTGGGACGTCTTCTGAGCCGCGGTGAATCATTCTGCAAATCCCCCGACGGCAGGTCCAAAGAGCCCTGTAGGGGAGACCGGGGAGTCGAGGAAGGGAACCTTGTCAGCCTCCTTAATCTTGGTGAGGTTTAGCCATAAGTGGCGCTCCAGCACCACTAGATTAACCATTGAACTCCCTATGGCCTGCCCTGTGGCCTTGGTAGCCCTTAGAGCCAGGTCTGTAGCGCTGCGCAGCTCCCTGAAAGCTGTGGCATGAGGTCCTGACTCATCCATGGTCTGGAGGAGTTTGGCCTGAAAGACCTGGAGCACAGCCATGGAGTGTAGAGCTGAGGCGGCCTTCCCGGCGGAGGAATACGCTCGTCCAGCGAGGGCAGAAGTCGTCCTGCAGGGTTTGGAGGGGTAAGCGAAATTCGCTTTCCATCCAATGGCAGTGGGCGGGCAAAGGTGCGCAGCCACTGCCTCGTCGAGAGGAGGCATCCTCACATAACCCTTTTCTTCAACGCCGTCCACTGAGGAGAGAGCAGAAGAAGAGTTAGAGCGAAGGCGGGCCAAGTAGGGAGCACGCCATGACTTCGTAAGCTCGTCATGGACCTCCGTGAAAAATGGAGAGGCACGCTGACGAGGCACCTGGCAGCGCCCCGGCAGGAACCATTCGTCCAGATGGCTACGAGTGGGCTCCTCCAGCATAGACCACTCCAATTCCAGTTCCTCAACTGCCTTAGAGAGGATGCAGAAAAGTCATTGGGCTCGGCAGACGATGAAGGGGCGGGGTCAGCAATAGAGCCCGACATCTCCTCCGCGTCTGATGCTATTAGAGACATGCTGTCATCTAATAGCTCGTTCTCTACGAGACCGAATGAGACCATGTCGCTCGCATAAGCCGAGGGATGCTGGTCTGCGTGCTCAAAGAGAACAGGAGAATCCTCTCTGCTTGGCGGGGGCGAGGCGAGCGGGATCTGGGCCGGGCTTAGTCCCTTTGCCCCGCTGTTTTTTCCTCACAGATCCCTGGGAGGAAGAAAACGGGAGGGTGCGAGGGGCGGATTCGCTCTCTAAAAAGAAAGCGATCCAAGCTCGCAGAGTGGCGAGACTCATGTTCACACAATGTGAACAATCCATCTCGGTCAGAGCGGCTTCCGCGTGGGGCTTACCCAAGCAGGGAACGCACTCTGAGTGGCCGTCACCATCGTGCAGTGCAATACTGCACGGCGTGCAATAATGGCGCGGCATTTGAAACAACGTTGGTGCTCTTTTAGAGAGAAATTTGCTTTTTTTAGGCTTGCTGGATGGCAGCAGGGGACGAGCTGGCATCTGCGCTGGTCGCTGAGCAGCTCGAAGAGCAGGCGGAGTGGCGAGAGGGCGCAGAAGAGATGGCAGCTTCTATCCGCAGCGAAGCGTTTCTATGGCGAGCGTCTTCAAGTCCTGAAGGTCAGCGAAGGGAAGATCATCGTCGCTGAAGGAGAATTGATCTGAGAACCTATGGTGAAATGCCCACTTATATAGCCAGATGGCCCCGCCCACTCTGGCGGGCTCGGGCGGGCTTCACCGCCATAGGCGACAGCGCCGCTGCCGAGCCATTGGATCGTTTTATAATCACTGCACGAACCAATGGCCGTGCAGTTACACTGCGTGATTGAATAAGTCTTCAGTCCTCGGAGAAAAATGAGTTTTTCCCCATAAGCGTCTAGCGACGCAGTACGAGTGAAGTATCGATAGGGAACAATTAACAGCTCTTATTTGTATAGCCTGATGTCTGTGCTAAATTGAATGTTTCAATTCTGGCAAAACAAACATGTTCTTTGAGTCTCTGATACTGGCTTTGAATTGGGAATTAAAAATTATGTTCACTAATAAATATGATGAGGCTGATAAGGATTAGAGAGTCTTAAGTGCTGGTTATACTCACTGTGATTAATCATTGGAAATTGTTGTGTCTGTGTGCTTTATAAGGTGGCAGATCACTCTCTGGGATGGAAAAAAAGCCTTATTAAAAAAATTATTATTTCCAAAAAAAAAAGAAGAAGAAGAAGCAATGAAGCATTTTATTTTATTTTATTTTATTTTATTTTATTTTATTTTATTTTATTTTATTTTATTTTATTTTATTTTATTTTATTTTATTTTATTTTATTTTATTTTATTTTATTTTATTTTATTTTATTTTATTTTATTTTATTTTATTTTATTTTATTTTATTTTATTTTATTTTATTTTATTTTATTTTATTTTACCATTTTTGTCCATTAAACCAAAACCATGTGTTGCAACCAACATGAAAGAAAAAAAAGAACAAGGAATGTCAGAGAAGACCCTCATTACTGTCTTAAATGTCTTAAAATATATTTTAATATATCAGCAATTTTCATATTTTATATGTTTTGCTCCAGCATCCCTGAAAACAAACATAGGAGAAGTGGTTTAGAGAATGGACAGATGGATATTTATTTAATATAGCAATATTATTTTATATTTTATATTTTTTACCTTTTTATAACAAGGCAGTGTTAAGTCAGGTTGTAAAATATTGCAATAATACATACAGTAATACAATACAATAATGCAATACATTAATGTAATTAAATATGTAGAAAATTATTTAAGAATTAATAATTAATTATATATATTTTTTTTTTTAATACATTGAAAAATGTTTTTAAACATTTTTTGAAATAATAATTAAGATGTTTTTGCTCACATGTGTTTACGGTATAAGAAAAATGTTATTAATTTTTACTTGGTTAAAACATGAAAAACCTTTCAATTATAAGTATAAACTTTACAAAACCATATAAAACCAACATGAATACTAAGTGTACATTTCTTACAACTTGGCACGAGTTTTAAACTAAATTTTAAAAAATAATTAAAAATGAATGACTTTAGGTGAATTATGTTGTTGTGAATTATTGTCAGTGTGAATGCCGCTTTAGATGTTTTACTTCTATAAAAGACAGAACTATCAAATGTTATTAATGAGCCTAGTTTAGAAGCCAAATGGACCTGAATGAAGACCTGCATATCTTGTTCCCTTAACAAGTTTCAAACATAATTACCCAGGAGTAACCGCTGTCCTGTAATAGCTGCAGCAGACAATTTACTTTCCCTCTCCTATTGCATCGAACGTCTTATAACCCTGTAAATAACCATCCAAGCATTGACATGTTTGAACATTTATTTGAAGTCTTTCCCGATGGACTCTTTTGAGACCTTTAAAAGAGCCAAACACTGGCTGTTTAACAGCTTCAACATCATGGGGTCTCCTCAAAAAGACTGACCTCCTGGGGAAAAGAGCAAACAGACCAGACAACTTTTGAGATGCCTTTTGTTCTGACCTGCTCACAGGGAACCGGCATCACAAAGATGAGCCCTTCCATTGCTCTCCAGCCAATCCTTTCCTCCGTAATACAATTCCTTCACTTGCCTCACAGCACGGAGTCTTGTGTGTACTTTTCTTTTTGGTCTTTTTATGCCCATTGTCACTTCTACAGCTGACTTTGCTGAAGGTTTCTCTGAAAAGAGAAATTCTCTGATGAGATGTTTTGAGGGGAGCCTCCCAATTTAGCTTGACCCGAGGCCCAGTTCCATTGCGGTCTATATGAGTACTTGTAGGTTGTTTGTGTTTTTAAGCATTCACGACTTTGATCTGGGGTAAAAATGACAGTACTGCATAAATGTTGTTCCCTTTTGAGTTTTTATGAGGTTTTGGTTTAATATGGTTTATTCATATTTAGAGTTCTTCTCTCCTTACACAACAACTTTCAGGAAGACCGGTGAGATCACAGGCGAGGGGATAATATGAATGATTCTGGCAATATGGTGCAATGAGCGAGAAGTCC